GCATAATCACACGACCACCATGGCTCCTTCAGATTTTCAAAAGGCTGTGATAATTGGGAAACAGTCAGAACAAGGTCAAGAGCCAACTGTGGAATAGACCATCAACTGCTCCTATGTAAGTTCAAATTGAACCTGAAGAAAATGAAAACAAGTCTGTAAGAAACAAAGTACAATGTAGAATCTACCCCACTGGCATTTAGAGACCATATCAAGAATAAATGTGTCACCTTGAACACCAATGGCCTCAGACCAGATGAGGTGTGAGATGATGTCAAGGATATAATATATGAAGAAAGCAAACCAAAAACCCAAACTCGCTGCCATGAAGTCGATGCCAACTCGTCACGACCCCATCGGACAGGTAGAACTGGCCCTGTGAGTTTCCAAGACTGTAACCATTCACAGGAGTAGGAAAACCCACCTTTCTCGAATCCTGGGACTGGTGGATTCGAACTGTGGACCTTGTAGACCGCAGCCCATCGTGTAACCACTATGCCACCAGGGTTCCTTGGGGGAAGCAAACAGTCATAGGAGAGGAGAAAATGGATGTCAGAGGAGATACTGAAACTTGCTCTTGACCGCAGAGCGGCTAGCGTGACGGAGGAGTGAGGAAAACTAGAGCCCCATCATGAAGAGCGCAGAGGCCTGGAGTTAGAAACGCAACAGATGAGAGCGCGGTTGGCATTTCTTAAGCTGCAAGAATTGAAGAAAATGTGCAAGCTTTGAGTTGTACTATCGAAGGATTCCATTAGCAAAATGTATGACAAGGGAGGAAGGCTCAAAAGAAGGCCAAAGGGATGTACAAATTCATTGTATCAAGAAGGGGTCTGTGTCCAACCCTTTCAGAGGTGGCATGTGATTAAGAAGGTACCCTGTATAGTATGATGGCAGGAAGGAGTCCAAGTTGTCAGGACCACAATTTTGAGGGACACTGAAGTCAATTGGTGGATCATGGTTCAAGAAGACAATGTTCGACATCCTACTTTGGCAATTAGCAACTGGGGTCTTTAGAACTTGTGAGTGGCTATCTCAGGTGAACTATTGGTCTCTCCCCCATCCAAAGGATATAAGAGTGAGGGAGATCAAGAGGCATATGGAAAGCATTGATCCCATGGGCTAAGGGAGCACGCGGACATCCAGCTCCACACGCCGAGACCAGAGCCACTGCTAAGTGCTCTGAGTGGGGTCGCGTGGGTAGGGTAGGAAGACCGTGTGGGGCAGAGCTCACCATCACCGAGACCAGGCGTACTGGTCACAGAAACTGAGGAGCACCTCAGCCCTTAGTCACCTTCAAACCCGGGACTGAAGTCAGCCTCGTATCAGAAGCATCAATCATTTAAGATCAAAAGGACAGCATGGACCCAAGGATAAAGTTCAGAAGGTGAGGGGAGCCAGCGGCACGGAAACATGTAACACAAGGAGAGAGACGAGTACTGGTGTATCGGGGGATTGTAATGGATGACGTGAACCGAAATGTGCATGAATTGTGGAATGTACAATTGATGATGTGCTTTATAAAACCTTCACCTAATTCACAGTAAAAAGTTTATTTTTAAATGCCTAGTTGGACCCCTTTTAATGCTGGAACTAAATTCATGCACCACCCCCCCCACACACACACACACACACGAAGAACTGCAAGTGGCACTGAAGGCATTGGAGAAAAACAAGGCCCTAGAAACAGATGCATTACCGCTGGAAGCCAAGAAATTTAAAAGATACTTATCTGGCCAACCAACTGGAACAGATCCATATTTGGTGATCCAACAGGATGTCAGGAGGATTGAACTAAGTCACCGATATCACACACTAGTCAAATTTTGCTGAAGATCATTCCACAATTGTTCTAGCAAGTCATCATCAAGAAATTGACATAAATTCAAACTGGATCCAGAAGCGGACACGCCCACTGCTGACGGGGGATGTGGCTTGGCTGGACCGGTGTTTACCTGTGTCTCACTGAGTATGCAAAAGCATCCAACTGTCTAGGTCATCACAGATGATGGATAACATTTCAAAACGAGCATTTCAGAACAGTTCATTGTGCTCGCGCAGAATCTGTTTATAGGCTATGTGGCCGTCATTCAAACAGAAAGAAGGGCCTGGTTTAAGGTCAGGAAAGGTGTGCATCAGGGCTGGATCCTTTCGCCATCCTTACTCGTTGCGTAAATTATCCACGAAACTGGACGGCCTAAAAAGAACAGGACTGGAGGAAGACTTGTTGACAACCTGTGATATGCCGACGACACCGCCTGGTGTCTGTGGAACAGGTGATGGGCACAGTGGCTGTGGCAGCTGGCTCAAACGTGGCGATGCATGTGAGGATGGTGCAGGAGCGGCTGTGTCCCATAGTCAGTTGTGCAGGGGTTTGCTGTGAGTCAGAAGCGACTCTGGCACTCAACGACTAAACACGAGAAAGGCTCAGAAACCCCCTATCTGTAAGGGCTTTCCCAGTCTAGACAATATTCAAATTCTATGGGAGCATTTCCTCTCGTTGCTAAGCAGGGTGCAGCTAAAAACTGCCTTCCTTTCCATGAAGGACCAGGAGGCATCACTTGCTGAAAGTCAGGATGCCACTGGGCTGCTCAGCCCAGGAAGCAGCCCCCCTCAGAAGAGGCCAGCTGCCTCAGGAGATGACCCAGGTCTGGCTGGGGCCTGGCAAGCAGCTTGGCTCCTGAGGGCAGGGTGATGCGCAGAGCACCTCTGAAGCCACTCTGGGTGTGAACCGATGGAGAAAATGCCCTCTCAGAGCGGCCTGCCATGCTGCAGGCTGCAGGAAATGGAAGGCAGGGAGGGAGAGGGGCTGGGCCCAAGCAGCCGCCTTGCTTCCATCTGCAAAGCATCAGTGGGGCAGGCGGGGTGGGGGCTCCAGAGGGGGATGGGGAGGAAATGAGAATAAACACAAGTGAGCCGGGAGGGAAGGGGTGGGGGGCTGCGGCCTAGGCCCCTTGGCAGCCCATGAAGGGAAGTGACACAATGAGGAATGTGTTTCCTTCTGCCAGTCCGTCCGTCCCCCGCATGGGGGTGGGAGGCAGAGTCCTGAGAATGGCCAGACCCCAACAGGGGCCAGGGGGCACTTGCTAGACCAGCACGGGGGTGGGGCAGCGTGGACAGGGTCTGGTCAGCCAAGGGGGAGGTGACAGGCAGGAAGCGCTACCCTGAGCAGGCAGGATCCTTGTCCCGTGTCCTGTCTGTATTCTGCATGTAGTGAGTGTGCTTCTGGGGTCCACAGACTGGCACACATGCTCTGGGCATGTAGCAGTGCCAGGTGCCTCCCAGGATGCCTGGGTATGACACCATCCCTTCCCTGGGAAGCTGGTCTTCCAGGTGTCTCCCCCTTTCTGCAAAAGAAGATTCAGACGTGGGGCGAGGAGTAGTCCTTGGGAGGAGAGGGAGCTAAGGTTCCAGGACTGCTGGCCCTGGGCAAGCCTGAGCAAGGTCGGTCGGTCGGTCGGTCTCTCTCTCTCTCTCTCCGTCTCTCTCATGTTTCTCTCTGTCTCTCTCACTGTGTGTTTATGTCCCCAGACTGGAGCTATGTGCAAACAGGCCTCCTGTGGACAAAGCACCTCCCTATCCCTGACACCCACTTCCTCTCCCCACAGCAGGGAGCCAGCTTGCTCTGTTGTTAACCCCCTCCCGCCTGTAATCCTGCGAGGTCCCTGAGGCTTTGCCAGGCACAGCCTAGACTGGGTGGGGATGTGGGACAAACCTGTCTGTCGATTTCCCTTCCTTCTATCCCAACAGGGGCCCCAGACCCTTGTGGCATGTTGATTATTCCGAGAATCTCCCCTCTCCACCCCCCAGCCCCCTGACTCCCTGGTAACCTCCTGGCACTGGGGTGGGAGCTGGGAGGACAGGGGAGCAAGTCCTAACCCTAGGTTGCCCTTGAGTTAGGGAACAAGTGACTCTTCAGGTCACCTGGGTGCCTCTTCCCTGAGTTCAGCATAGCGGATGAGGGTGGGCCGGCGCTTGGTCAGAGGTGCTTCCTGCCTCACAACCTGGAGGGAGTGCTGGGGGCTCAGGTATCGGATGGGGCCCTAGTAGGTCCCCAGTGGGTGGAGCTGTCCCTTCAGCACTGCCCCAGCAGGTGTGGGCCCTGGTAGCTTGGCAGGTGGAGAGACCGGAGTTGCGGGAGGATGCATCTGCATTGGCCCCTGGAGGGGGTGGGGGGTGGGGCTCTGCTCCTGCAGCCCTAAAGAGAGGCCACTTCAGTGAGCAGTCCGAGCCCCTCATCCCTCAGCACCCTGGGCTCCAGGGAGACCCTAGGAGAAGGTGGGCCAGCGGATGTTAACAAGCCTTCACCCTCCCTGGGCCCCCTCTGAAAAACAAGGGGCCTGGACCAGATGATTTACAGCCCTGCCCAGGAAGAGGGAGGCAGGTCAGAGTCCACTAGGCAGTCGAGCGGCTTTCCTTATTTGTCAAATGGAAACATGTGCAGGGATCAGTGGCTGTTAAAAAGGCCGCCCCGTGGGCAGCCTGCTTCCAAAGAGGTTACCTGTGAATTGCAGTTCACCAGAGATGGACACACTTATTTTCCAAGGGAGGCTCACAGCAGCCCTGTGAGAGACTCAGGCAGCGCAGAGGGGAGGGACACAGGACTTCCTGACTCCTGGTTCAGGGCCCACTCCGCTCCTTACTTCCACCCCAAAGGCCCTTCCATCGCAGCACCTGGTGACCGACCAGTCCCCCTTTCTGGCTAGGGGCCAGGCGGTTCCTTCCCCAGTGTCAGTGGATGGGTTCGAACCACCAACCTTTTGGTCAGAGGCCGAGTACGAACCCTTCTCAACATGTGGGGACCTTCTTGTCTGAGGGGAGAGTTCCTATCCAATCTCCCACCCAGGGCAGAGGAGAGGAGAGAGGTGGAAGGAGGTTAAGTTCTGAGTCCTGAAGACAGGCACCGCTGTTTCTGGTGGCGAGGAGAAGCCCCGCCCCTGGGGACAGTGTGCTGCCTCCTGAGAGGAGAGGACAGGTGTGCAGGCTCCCTTCTGTGCCTCCCACAGAGACCTGAGGAACAACATCATCAGCACGGTGGAGCCGGGGGCCTTCCTGGGCCTGGGAGAGCTAAAACGCTTGTGAGTGGCCGTCTGACCCCACACTGCCTGTCCCCAACCCCTCCTGGCATTCCTAGAGACAGACCCTGAGATCCCAGGAGACAGCGCCAGTATTCACACTCCACCTCTCCTTCCTGTCCCCAAGTGGGGTGCTGGCTGTGGTGGGATGAGAGCACCTGCCCCGCCCCATCTCTTTCTGTATCCAACTCACCTCACAAGCCCCAGCCCCACCACGGGTGCCCCTAGCCCAGGCAGAGCCACATGTCACCACGTGGCTGACTTGCTGAGGTGTGTCTCTCTCTAGAGACCTCTCCAACAACCGGATCGGCTGCCTTACTTCTGAGACCTTCCAAGGCCTCCCCAAGCTTCTCCGACTGTGAGTGAGGGGAGGGGGCTTACCTCGAAGGAAGGGGGGCTTGGGCGAAAGAAGGGAGCACCAAGCCCCTGCAGGTCTCCCCTCCACTCCTCCCCTGTTCTGACCTAAGAGCCTGCCTCTCTGCTCCTGGCCGCCTGCAGGAACATATCGGGGAACATCTTCTCCAATCTGCAGCCTGGGGTCTTTGACGAGCTGCCAGCCCTGAAGATTATGTGAGTATCTTTCCCAGTCCAAGGCTCAACCCTTTGGTCCGTTTCTTGGCCCAGCAGGGAGCACATAAGCATCTGGCCACCCATGGGAGTAGGCAGAACAGACAGGGCCTGAACCGATGCCATCTTCAACTTTCCACAGCTGCTGGGTGGGTGTGGGGGGAGGGCACACGCACCCAGGTTAGCCCTGTCCAGCCTCAGGCCCTGCCATCACCCCCTCCCCAGGGGCCCACACCTCCTCTGCTCTACCCCATGGCCCCTCTGCAGGGACTTTGGCACCGAGTTTCTGACCTGTGATTGCCGCCTGCGCTGGCTCCTGTCCTGGGCCCGGAATCACTCCCTGCAGCTGTCGGGGCGCACACTCTGCTCCTACCCCAGGGCCCTGCACGCCCAGGCCCTGGGCGGCCTCCGGGAGACACAGCTCCGCTGCGGTGAGCGCTGCCTCCTTCCACACAACAGGACAGGAAAGGGCCTCTCTGAAGGACCCCGCCTCTCCCACAGCCCACAGCCCCACCTGCTCAAGATGTGCTCAGCCCGGGGTGGGCTACCCAATAAACAAGGGAAGCACGCACTTATTTGTGCTTACTTGCTCATTTGTAGTGAACAGTTTCACATGGTGTTCGCCACATCTCTGGCTCCTTAGTACAGATTGGTAAGTAAGCACAAGCAAGCCCATGCTTACCTTGTTTACCATCCCTGTCTGGGACTGTCACTTTGAAGATTGGCGTGGGATCTGTAGGAAGGTGCTGTGGGGTTGGGACAGAGTGGATGCCAGCCAGATCTAGAAGCAGAATCATTGATGTGATGGGGAAAAAATTCGAAGTTGTCCAATGCAGACTAGCAAGGAAGCACAACTAAGCCCGTGCCTACCTTCCCCGTGGGCAAGCCAACACTGCCTTGGCCTCCAGTGTTCCTGGCTGGCCGGGCTGTGCTCTCCAGGGCAGCGTCTCCCCCTCGGGTTTTACTGGGACCCTACCAGTTCTTCTGAACTCCTCTTGGTCCTCCTTGGGAAGGCTCGTATCACGTCCCACCTCTTGGGGTGCCACGCCTGCTGTAGAAGGAGCACTTTCTTCCTTTGGCCAAACACCACCCCGCACCCCCGGACCCCCCCCACCCCCCCACCCCCAATGCTCTCCCTTCTGGAGACCCTCTGGAGAGTCCTTCCCCTCTCCTGGCTGCTGCAGGCTGCAGGCAACGGGGACCAGCCCCTGCGCCCTGGCTCCTCAGGAGCACGGGCAGCACCCCAGCCTCACTGCTCCGTGTCTCCTCGGCAGAGGGCGCACTGGAGCTGCACACACACCACCTGATCCCATCCTTGCGCCAAGTGGTGTTCCAGGGGGACCGGCTGCCCTTCCAGTGCTCTGCCAGCTACCTGGGCAACGACACCCGCATCCACTGGTACCACAACCGGGACCCCGTGGAGGGTGACGAGCAGGCGGGTGTCCTCCTGGGGGAGAGCCTCATCCACGACTGCACCTTCATCACCAGGTACAGACCCTGCTGCCCTCTCAGCCACCAAAGGATCTGTGCCCACCCACGCAGGCCCCTGGACACGTGTCCATGTAGATGCATGTCTATAAGAGTCCAGCACTCATAAACGGTCTGACAGAGAATAGAAAGTGCCGGAGGGGGGGTGGGACGGTCCGACATGCTACTGCTCTAGTGCTTTCACATTGTATAAGGGGCCCTGGCAGCGCCATCAGCTAAAGCGTTGGACTGCTAACCCATGAGTCTGTGGTTCAAGACCCATGAGCTGCTCCTCAGGAAAATAAGAAGCTTTCTGCTCCCGTAATGATTTACAGCACCCCCAGGGCAGTTCCCCACCTTATAGGGTCTGGGGGGGCAGGAGGGGAGTTGGTTGGGGGTCGCCTATATGATCAGATTTCATATCTACAATAGCTGCAGGAGAGGCATGCTCTTCACGATGCTGTTGTCATTCCAAACAAAAGCCAAAACCACACCTATCGCCATTAAAAAACACCCAACGCACTGCCATCAAGTCAGTGCCGCCTCATAGTGATCCCTCTGCTGCTTTCCCAGACTGTCACTGTCTGCAGGAGTTGAAAGCCTGTGAGTCCTCCTCAGAGTGGCTGGTGGTTTTGAACTGCCCACCATGTGGATTGCAGCTCAACGTGTAACCACGACCCCACCAGGGCTCCATCAGGTCCAACAAATCAATATGGACTCATAGCAACAACATGGGACAGAGTAGGCCTGCCCCATAGGGTTACCCAGACGGTCATCTCTCCTGGGCAGAGTGCCTGGTAAATTCCAACCACCAGGCATGGGGTGCCCACCCAAGCATCTAGCTATGGTGCCACCGGGCTTCCTTCACCTCCAGAAGAAAGACAGGGTCGTTCGAGTGCAGAAAACAAGTTTCATAATCAGAATAAAAGAGCACGTACTTGCACCTCTCCCTCAATCTAACCACCACCACCCAAGACCTGGAAGCTAGGAGCCAGCCTGCCCCAGAGTGGAGCCCCTGCAGTGGACGGGGGTTCTCAGGGAGGGTGAGGGGGCTGGGCCTGGGGGGGCCTCACTGATCTGCCTCTCCGTCCCCAGCGAGCTGACCCTGTCTCATATCGGCGTGTGGGCCTCGGGGGAGTGGGAGTGCGCTGTGTCCACCGCCCAGGGCAACGCCAGCAAGAAGGTGGAGATAGTGGTTCTGGAGACCTCGGCCTCCTACTGCCCTGCCGAACGCGTCGCCAACAACCGCGGGGACTTCAGGTTTGGGTCTGCTCTGCAGAGGGCTTCCCCAGAGCCCCAGTCTCCATCCTCACTGCTGCCCGCAGCAGCCCCCTCACTGCTGCATCCGAGACCACCTGGAACAGGCCCTTCCACCTCTCTTGCCAATCAGTCAAGTCCTGCGGCTGCTTCTTTCTGTAGAAAAGCTCTCTCTTCCATGCACTGTCTATATCTGCTACTTTACACTCCTCAAAAGCTCGCCCACAACGAGTATCCCTGTGGGTCTCTCAGTTCAGTGGGGCAAGCGTTTATTCTCCCATCGTCTACCAAGAACAGCAAGGCCCAGAGAGGTTAAGTGGCTTGAATCTAGCCCTCATACCACCACCGACGACGGAACTGTCAGGACAGACATAATTAGAAGTGGAGCTCAGACTCGCCCTTCCCCCCCCCCAGCCCCGCTCTCCTTGACCCAAGGGGGTCTGGCACCACAGGATCCATGGTCATATGCGCCCTCCCTGATTCTGCCCCCAGGTGGCCTCGAACTCTAGCTGGCATCACAGCCTACCAGTCCTGCCTGCAGTATCCCTTCACCTCAGTGCCCCTGAGTGGGGGAGCCCCCGGGACCCGAGCCTCCCGCCGATGTGACCGTGCTGGCCGCTGGGAGTCCGGGGACTACTCACACTGCCTGTATACCAACGACATCACCCGGGTGCTCTACACCTTCGTGCTGGTGAGGAGCGGAGCGGGAGGGGCGGGGCCAGGAAGGAAGACGCTGCTGACCTCCGGCTGCCACGCTTCTGCACAGCTCCCGGGTGCCCCCAGGGGGAGGGGACAGCACCTCATCTCTGGGTGTTTTCCTCCAGCTCCTCTCTGCACCCCCACCACTCACACACTCCCAAACACTGCAGGGGGTTCCAATCCTCCAAAGGCATACAAGGGAAGCATGGTGAATCAGGTCACTCCATCCTATACCCCAACCCCCTCCCCATCCAGCCCCACGCTTCTTAACCACGTGTCAAGGGCAAACTGTGGGCGGGGCGGGGGGTGCAGTAGGCAGCCTGCTGTCCTTGGGCCAGTGGTGCCAGCTCAGGCAGCCTACAGTTGTGTACCAAGTACTCACTGTCTCATATGTGCCCTGGACCCTGAGTAACCCCAGCTGGTGGTGCCATCCCCTCCCCCAGGCAGTGCAACCCAGGGCTGCAGCCCACAGGAGAGAGGCCTCCTAGAGGTGGTGCTGGGGGCAATGATGACACCCGTTCTCTCCTCCCCACCCCAAGATGCCTATCAACGCCTCCAACGCGCTGACCCTGGCCCACCAGCTGCGTGTGTACACGGCCGAGGCCGCCAGCTTCTCGGACATGATGGATGTAGTCTATGTGGCTCAGATGATCCAGAAGTTCTTGGGTTACGTGGACCAGATCAAAGAGGTGAGGTCTCACTAGAAAGTGCCGCGTGCCGTGACCAAGCTTCCCCGTGCCCAGACCCCAGGGTCACAGACCCCGCTGCTGCGTCAGTGGCTCCCTTGTCCCTCTCAGCTGGTGGAGGTGATGGTGGACATGGCCAGCAACCTGATGCTGGTGGACGAGCACCTGCTGTGGCTGGCCCAGCGCGAGGACAAGGCCTGCAGCGGCATCGTGAGCGCCCTGGAGCGCATTGGCGGTGCCGTCCTCAGCCCCCATGCGCAGCACATCTCTGTGGTAACCTGGGTCCTGGTGGGAGGGAGCTCCTGAGGGGCGTCACCCTGGGAGGGAACCTAGAGCCCAGCAGAGCCAGCCTTCGCAATCCAGGAGAGGGAAACACTGCTCTATGTGGTCAAGGCCTCCCAGCGTGCTCCTGCCATGAGCCCACGCAGGACGGCACACTCTAGGCCCTGAGTCATGCATGATCAGCTTCTAAGTTATCTATCGGGGCAGAGCAAAGGAGAGGGGGCGCTCTGTGACACCAGGGACGCGCTGGACAACTCTGGTGAGGAATGGAGTTGAGGGAATGCTGGTGACTTGTCGCGGCAGCCCTGTAAGCCAGAGCAGTACTGCCCGGCACTGCTTCCCAGGCTGCAGGCCTTACTGGGACTGGTCACCACATCTTTCCTCCCATCGGCTTGCTGCTGGGTTTGAGCCTGGGCATTTTGGCTGGCAGCCAAGAGCTTGACCACTGTGTCCACAGGGCTCCTTTGTTGAAGGGAGAGCCTGAGGGGAAAAAATAAGAGCAATGGCCAAGAGGGGAGACAGGAGCAGAGGAAGGCTCGTAGGAGGGCAGGCTGGGCAGCCCTTGGAGTTGAGGAGGGGCTTGTGGAACCTTTCGTTCCTTGAGAAGAATGTGACACGTCAGTGGGTGCGGGTAGTCAGCACCTTCTACAAACAAGACATAGTGTGCCCAGCCCCTCAGGAGATAAGCAGGCAAGAGATCCCTGCTTGGGAGCTTAGTTGGGCCACGGACACTAGCACAGGCTCCTAGATGAGCAGGATCCACGACAGGGGGAGGGAACATGCTGAGGAAGAGGGCCAGCGCTGCCTGGTTTGCTCAGAGCAAGCAGAAGGTGCTGCAGCCAGCAGTGGGCAGTAAGGCCTGGGCAGTGAGGCACAAAGGGGAGGGCGTACCACCTGAACAGACATGCTGGGAGGGATGCACTGTCTCAGGAGAAGACCAAGAGAGGGCTGTCCTATCTCCCACTGAGATAGGGGGTGACAAGCTCTTGTCCCTAGAACTCGAGGAACGTGGCACTGGAGGCCTACCTCATCAAGCCTCACAGCTATGTAGGCCTGACCTGCACAGCCTTCCAGAGGAGGGAGCTGGGGACACCCGCAGCCCGGCCGGGCAGCCCTGGCCAGAATCGCCTGCCTGAGCCGGAGCCCCTGGCTGACCAACATCTCCGCTTCCGCTGTACCACCGGGAGGCCCAACGTCTCCCTGTCCTCCTTCCACATCAAGGTGGGCACTGGGGGAGGAGGTGTGGAGCTGCCAGGGGAGGTGCCCAGTTTGCATGCCTGGTGGTGTGGAGGAAGCAGGATTCACACACGTGGGACATGGGGGCGGGAAGACATCGGAGGCCTAGGGGTTCCTGGGTGTCTCTGAGGAACTCTGATGTCCCCCCAGAACAGCGTGGCCCTGGCCTCCATCCAGCTGCCCCCCAGTCTGTTCTCATCCCTTCCGGCTGCCCTGGCGCCCCCAGCCCCCCCAGACTGCACCCTGCAACTGCTCGTCTTTCGCAACGGCCGCCTCTTCCGCAGCCACAGTAACACCTCCCGCCCTGGAGCTGCTGGGCCTGGCAAGAGGCGCGGCGTGGCCACCCCAGTCATCTTTGCCGGAACCAGTAAGGGGCTGGACTCCCTCTACC